GGCTGGGCTTGCGGGGGGGGCAGCTGGCAGGGTGGGGCGGGATGCTGGCGCCAAGCGCGTGCGCTGTAGAAGCCGTTCCCCGAAATTCGATGGTCCTTTTTTTGTGCCAGAAATATGAACCTCGGGGTAAGGGCACGTCGCCACCAACGAGGCAGCTAGCTTGGCACAGATGGTACGAGTTGAAACAGTGCTTAGCTCATCAACTGTGCCCTAGCTTGCAACACAGGAAGGGAATCTGCCCGGCCACCGCACTGCCCAACAGCACTGTGCTTGTGTCATGTATCAACCCCGCACCTGTCCAGGTACAGCGGTGCGATTGTCTCATTGGTGACGACCAGCACGCGCTTGCTGGGCACGTGCTTCCGCAGCAGCTCCCCGCGGTTCAGCAGCCCCTGGCCGATGTAGATGGGGTAAGAGCGGTCCTCCAGGTCCACCTCAACGACCTTCATCTCGACACCGGTGCTGCTGCTGGCGCTCGCCGGCGGCGCGACCGCTGCCGGCGGGCGCACAGCGGTGCGCCGCCGATTGCTATGAGTGTAGCTGCAAGCGCGGCTCGTCACAGAAGTGGAGGCATCCCGCTGGACGGCACATGGGCTGGCCGAGAGATGGCTGCAGGGACCGAAATGCACAACGGGGACCGTCAGGCTAGCACGCAAGCCCAATGTGCTGCTCGGCGTAGCTGTCTGGCGCAATCCCTGCATCTTTCTGCTGCCCGCGATGCACGTTGAGATCGATCGGAAGCACTTTGTCCTTGGATGTTCGTCAACAAGCGCACTCACGCTGAAGCAGAACACGAGTCACGTTGCACCGTGCCTTTTTTTTCAGTATTGCGGTAAGCCACGGCCCCTCTAACTCAGCGTGCTCGACGGCGCTGTGGCTGCTCAGTGCTCGCTGCCCCAGCACGCATGCCCGGCTCAGGCAGCTGAAGTTACCCGCGGCACGAACAGCGCAAGGCCGCAAGTCGCAAGAAGATGCCAAAAGGCTGGTCTGGTGAAAGATGTGTCATGCAGCACGCCGCTCTTTACGCTGTGAAGTGCGCAGTCTAACCAAAGCCTGGGAGTGTTGACTGCAAAATAGAAGCGGCGTTGCAAGCCAAGCAGGAGCCCAGCAAGTAACGGCACATGTGCCGAGCGATCCAATAATCACTCATCATCGACATAGTCGGACCCGCTGTCATCATCCCCCTCCTCCTCTTGCTCTTCGTCGGAATCCCCGCTGCCTCTGTCACCGCTGCCGCCCCCCTCGTCGTCATCCGTGTCACTACCTCCTTGCGACTGCTTGAGCCGCTGCGCCGCCACCGCGCCCGCCCGCCGCGCCGGCGCGCGCCGCCTAGCGCCGCCCCCGCCGCTGCCGTCGCTCGCCGCCCCCGCTGCCTCCGCCTCCTCCTCGTCCTCCGCGCCCTCCTCATCCAACACCACCGCCTGCTTTCGCCGCTTGGCGGCCGGGCGGGCCCCCCGTTGCCGCGGCTGCGCAGCGCCGCCGCCTCCCGCTTTTTTGGCGGCCGGCTTCCGCCCTGCGCCGCCGGCGCCGCCCTGCGTGTCATCTTCCGAGTCAATGACCACCACCACCTGACTCAGGGTTGATGTGGAAACGGAGCGCATCGCCAATGCAGTTTGACTTGTGACTATACGGCATGATGCGATGGCAGACGATCAACACAAACAGCTGTCCCGGGGGCACCGCGTGCCGCTCCTGCACACATGCGGTCTGACCAGGGCCACCAGCAGACGCTTGCGCACAGGTAAGGCGCGTGCGGCCGCAGCCAAGCGGCCCGCCAACACACCTGCTGCTGCGACGCTCGCCGCTGCGGGCGCTTCGCCGCGCTGTTGACTCGCCGGCCGCCGCCCTCGCCCTCGCCGTCGCTGCCGCTGCTTAGAAGAATCACCTCATCATTGTCGGCATCACCATCACCATCATCAGCACCCCCCTCCCCCTCCCCGTCCACAGCGCCCCGCCTGGGCTTGCGGCTGCCCCTGGCCCCACCGCCGCCGCCGCCACCGCCGCCACCACGCGCGCCCGGGCGCGGCTTCTGCTGGCCTCGCCGCGGCGGCTGCGCTTCGTCCTCCCCGTCCTCCTCCGCCTGGCTGGGTCCCTTGTGCCTGCAGAACCCAATCCGGCAGTGCAGCAGAGTCTGTGAGCCGCCAAAGCAGCAGAGATTACTGGCACCCTCACCTTGGGCCATGCCAGTTTTGCCCATCAACGACATTGCAAAGGCGCCATACTCCTGACGCTCAGTCACCATGCTAAGAGCAGGGACACATGCCGCAGGCATCGCGCCGCACCTCTTGGCGGCGGGGCTCTTTGCAGGCGTGCCCCGCGCGCGCCCGCGCGACGCCCCTGGATCAGTGCTGAGGCTGCCGCCGCTGCTGCTGTCCGCGCCTTCATCGCCGGAACCGCTGCCGTCGTCGTCCGAGCCGCTGCCGTCTGTGTAGCGGCGCTTCTTCGCCGCGGCGCGCTGGGGCCGCGATGCAGACGGCGGCAGCGGCTGCGGGGCAGTCCGGCCATACGAGCGTAATCGGTGTGGATTTTGATGCAACGCACTTTTCACTGCAAACTCAACGCTGCTCGACATCCCCAAGTGCATCCCAGCGGCCCTCCCCCAGCCAACTTTTGAAATTTAGACAGCCGCGTGCATGCGCTGATCGCGGCCCGCCCCCTCGGCGCGGCCCCGATCTCACGCGCATCCTTCACGCACCTGCGATGCGTCCTCGCCATCTCCCTGTGTCTGCGTCTGCGTGCCTTGCGTGCCCTGCGTGCCGCCGCCGCCGCCCGTGCGCTTCTTCAGCGGTGCGGCCGGCCCCTCGTCCGCGCCGGCGCCGGCCCCGTAGCCGTAGTCAAACGCCTCGTGGGCCTTGGCGGCCGCCAGTTCCTCAGGCAGCGGCAGGCGGCGCTCCTCGGGGTTCTCCTCCTTGGTGCCGACCCACCAGGCCTCGGAAAACACGATCTTGGTGGGGAGGTGACATCAACAGAGCGGGGCGCCGCGCTTCAGGCTCCGAGCCGCAAGGCCCGAGGGCGTCGTTACCTCAAGGCTGCTCGTGGTCAACCTTGATGCAGGTCCCCACTTTTGCCCCCTCACCAATCTGGCCCGCTTCCATACACACATGGCCATCAAGCGCCCTCTACACCCTGGACCCTGGCCCGGCCAGGAACCTGTCGCTGAACCCCCAATGCAAGAGAGATTTACCCCACCCCGAACACCTCAAAATCCACCCAAAACCCACCATGCTCTCAAACACGTCTTCGCACAGCACGCCGCCACTCTTGTCGCCGCCGCGCGACGGCAGCCGCAGCACGACGTACTTATTGGTGGGGAACAGCAGCGTGCCCAGCAGCTTCAGGCGGCCGCCCCCCGGGAACTCCAGGTACATGACCGGGTTCTTGCTGTCCAGGTTGGATAGGACACCCTTGGGACCGGGGTTGAGGTTGTGTGTGATTGCATAGTTACATGCCACATTTGAAGCGGCTGGCACGTTGAGCCGCATGCGCGTGTGTGAATGTGTGTGTGCGCGCATGCGTGCGTGCGTAGGTGGGTGTGTGTGAGTGTGTGTGTGTGTGAATGTGTGTGTGTGTGTGAATGTGTGTGTGTGTGTGTGTGTATGTGTGCGCGCGCGCGTGCACGCGCGCATTTGTGTGCGCATGCATGTGGCTGGTGTTGGTGCGGCGGCAGAGCAAAAGGGATGCAGGCCTGTGGTGCTGGGGATTCAAGCCCTGGCACGCGCAGGGTGTGCTTTGACAGCCTCGCGGAACCCTTTCCGTCATGCCTGGCTCGTGGGGAGCTGTTGCGAGGTGACGGCACAACGGTTCAGGGCAGGTTTGGCGCTCTATGCGTGTGCATTGAGTCGCGCCGTACTGAATGCTTTGGTGGCACCAATGGCTACGACGCCCTGTGGCTCACCATGCGGCCGGCTGCGGCGGGGGCGATGCTGCAGTTGAAGACCAGCAGGTACCTGGGGGTGTTTGAGGACGCAAGAGGTGGGTTTGGGCGGCTGCCATGTGCCAAGATGCACGGCAGTTCAGGGCGCATACATGCTGGATGGCGCACAGCGCTGGAAGAGGGTGCTACTGGTGCTGGGCTGGAAGGGGCTCTGATGGTGCTGGGCACGTGTTCATGGCGAGCGCAATGCAGCTTGTTGATGGGCACCTTGACAAAGCAGCTGCGCCACAACATGGTGGGACCCACCAGCTCCCCCTGCCCGTCAAAACATCCGCGCCTGTTTTTCTTGTATGAACCCTTTTTGATGATGTCCTTGCCATCCGCCTTGGCAAGCGCTGCAATAAGGCATGCGTGTTGGCGGGCACCTGCTCAGGTGCAGCCAGCCAGCCAGCTTGCACCCACAACAAATGAACCAGGGAAGACTCTGCCATGAGGCGCCACAACCGGCCCCTCACCTCTTGAGAGTGCCACTTGCTGCGCGGTATGCACAACTTTTGTGCCAATTACCTACCAAGGGGGGAATGGGCTGCAGGCGATGAGGCATGGTGCGCGCAGGCCCATCACAAATAGTGCCAGCAGCGCGGCGGTCCGAGCTTACCCCGGCGTCAATGGCGCGCTGCTTCCGGCGCGAGGCCTCCGTCGCCTCACGTTGCTGTCCCTCAGTCAGCTCCACCTCCTGCTGCTTTTTGGGGGCCATATCTGGCCGTTTACTCCGCCAAGCCCGATCACTGCGCGCCAGATCACGTCCTCAGATGAATGAGAGTATGCGGGTGATATCTACGAGGAGTTTGCCATATGCACACAATTCCTAAATCGGGCAAGAACCGATATCTTTCCTACGGAACGGAACGGCTCAAAACTGTATAGCTGCCCTTGTCGCTAAGAACAAAACCAAACCGAGAGCTGTTCAAGAATCGCAAAGCCCAATAGATCCTGCATTGACGCGACACTGCTACGGTTGCCATTCGTGTCGGCCGTCGACTCCAGCAAAAGCGAGGCTTACTCCGTTAGAGGTCAAGTCAGAATCTATGGGCAGCAGCAAAAAGCGGAAAGCGCAGCAGGATGCGGCGGAGGAGCGCGATGACACGCTACCGAGCACAAGCGGCGGCGGCGGCGGCAGCAGCGGCGGCGCAGATGGCGGCGACCTCAGCAGTGTGGTTTACATAGGGTGAGTGCATGTTCTGGTGGCTTTCTCGTTCATGGGGCGCCGTTCCTGACGGTAGCAACTATCACCACCAGCGGCTTGCCCCTGCGCGGAAGTCACCGATGTGGCTGCCGCTGCCGGAACCGTCACAACCCAGTGCGCTGCCACCATCAGCCTGTGCCCTATCATCCTTGCTGCACGATTTTTGAACTCACAGGCATTTGCCCCACGGCTTTTATGAGGACCAGTTGCTGGGTGGGTGCGGTAGCGCTGCCTTGGAAATCACTTACTGCTGCTGGGCCGCGGCGCTCGCACCAGGCGGCTCGCGCACGAACGTATATGCAGCGGAGGAGCAGTCCAGCTCAGCCCAGCCTTGCTCGTGCTTTGCGCCCTTGCCTGCACCAACCCCAAGGCGCCCCTCTAACCCGCCCACCCCGCCCTTCCGCCCCTCCCCGTTTCAACCACCCCAGGCTTCTTCAGCCAGTTCGGCCGCCTCTCCCGCGTCCGGGTGTCGCGCTCCAAGAAGACAGGCCGCGCGAAGCACTACGCATTCCTTGAGTTCGCGGTCCCCGAGGTCGCGCGCATCGCGGCCGAGGCGATGGACGGCCACTTCATGTTTGCGCAGCGGCTGTCGGTGCGGTGCCTTAAGCAGGGGGAGGTGCACCCGCTGCTGTTCAAGGGCGCGAACCGCAAGTTCAAGCAGGTGGGCGCTTTGGCAAGGCAGGGCGGTTGACGGGGCCTCGGGAGGACCCACAGGCAGGGACAGGGTTATGATGGCGCTGGCTGTCTTGTCACGGCATGAAGCAGCCTGCGGGGTGATTTCAGGGACATGACTGCTGCGTTACCAGCTACACAGGAAGCGCTGCTGTCAGGCCGAGCCTGGCACTCCTCCTGGCAGCTACTGTGTTGCTGTCGCCTCATCATCACCCGTCCCTTCATCTCTCCCCATCCCTTCTCTCCTCTCCCCTCCCCTTGAAGGTCCCCTGGCGCAAGATCGAGGCCGAGCGCCACAATCGGCCACGCACGCCGCAGGAGCACGCCAAGCGTGTCGCGGTGCTGCTGCGGCGGGACCGCAAGCGGCAGGCCAAGATAGCAGAGGCAGGGATAGACTATGAGTACGACGGCCTCGCCGCGGCGCTGCCTGGCAAGGCCAAGAAGATCAAGTTTAGCGATTGAGGCTGGCGGGGGGCCCGTGGGCGCGGCGACGGCGGCGCTCGCTGCCGCGGCCGGCAGGGGATGGTGTTGCGACAGCGGCACGGTTGTGAAAGGTGTTGCTGTAGCTTCGGCGCGGCTGTGCTGAGTTTGAGCTCGCGGACGTGCTGCATGTGTAAGCTGAGGCGGCGACCTGTGTACAGGTCACGTGACTAGGTCAGCAAGGGAAGGTCGGGGTGCAGGCACATCGCCCTGTACAACAAAATATCCAGGCTTGTCAGATGATGACATAGAAGTATACCGCGAGTTGGCAACCAGCACAGACCTGATAACCAGTCTACACCCAGCACCACAGCACACCGGCCGCCCTAGTCACCAGCCGCCCTGGCAAGCATGCAGCAGGCTGGCGTGCTGGTAAATCAGGCTTCCGATACGGACGCTAGCTGTAAAAGCTGGCATTGTCAATCGAACCCATTACAAACTGCGTAGATCGCACCATAGCAGGGCGGGCGCAACGTCATCCGACACCAATACGGTAGCAACACAGCGGAGGCACGAGCTAATCCAATGCCGGGCGTGACCTTGTTAGAGGAGCTGCACAGGTTGATCACTGCTGGACTGGGGCGCCCCGAGCGTCGCCACTCGCACTGGTGCATTGTTTGGAGCGCTGCGCTTTGTGCGCCGTCCAACTGCCTACAGCCCCTTGCCACGGCTTTGGAGAGCAGTCACACAAACCCTTAACCTTCGCATGCATCACCTCAGTGTCTGTGCGGCGGGGCTTGGTGGCGTCTCGATCAACGCCGACGCGGCTGCGGCGGTCGCAGCCCGGCTAAAGCCTGATGAAGTGCGGGCGGCGGCCAGGGCAGGCTTCCCGGTCAGGTTTGAGACCATAGAGGATGAGGTGAGCCTTACTGCCGACACGGGCTTAGCAGCTGGTTGCAGGCGGCAGCAGGGGTGGCAGGTCTCCGCAGGAGCAGGCCGAGCCCCACCACGCTTGTGCTGCACGGATGCAAATTGAAGTGCAAGAGCGCGGCCCACACATACCCAAACAGCCCCCCACACACCTGCCTCTGCTTTTGAACCTAAAACACCACCTCCCTGCCTACCCCACAGATCACCTTCCTCGCGATCTACCGCCTCCTCGACTTCGGCAGCGAGTATGACGAGCAGCTGCGCGCAGCGACCGGCCGGGACGCGCGTGAGACGATGCAGTTTGGGGCGCTTGGGCTGCACCTGGGCGCCAAGCGGCTGGACCGCCACTTTTTGAAGGACTTCAGTCTCTTTGGGGTCACCAACTACTTCTCATTTGAGGCGCGCGTGGATCACGTGAGTTCACCTTGCTGGGCATCCTTTGTACGCCCTGCGCATAAAGGATTTTGGAAGCGTGCGCAGCATGCCCTCTCGACATCTTGGTTATCTGCACACCCTGCGGGGCTCACAGCCTGTGCACGCTAGCTTCAGGCCTGACAGGGCACCTCTCTGCCTGCCGCACCCCATGTCGCAACCTTGTCGCCCCGCAGGAGCTGCAGCCGGGCATCACAATATCAAAGCCCGTGAGCACTGGGGCAAGGGGGGCACCATGTGAGCATTCACGTGGTCACTTGACAGCGCCCGCCTCAGTTTCCTGATCCCCGCTGGCACAAAGCCTGGGTGCCATCTGTTGTGTTGTACTTCTAGGTTGAACGTTTCGTCGCGCGAGTGTTGCCGACTCCCGTGCCACACCCATCTGCATCACCCGACTCCCTGTTGTGCCCTGAATACACTAGGGCCCGCTGCAGCCGCTGGCAGACGCGATCAGGGCAACGCTCAACGGCGCCGGCGCGGCGCTGGAGCGGCTCGGGCAGCGCACCTTTGGGCAGCACATCCTGAAGCTGCTGGACGCCCGCAAGGCCGCGGGGTGCGCGGGCCAGCTGTCGCTAGTGCGGCAGCGCGTGTGCAACCACGCCATGCGGGGCGCGCCAGGCGGCCGGGGAGTGCGCGTGTAGAGTCGGCGTGTGGCCATGGTCGGCCCCCACCCTCACCCTTCCATGTGCCCCGGCTCGCGCCCCGCCCTGGCCACGACTGCAGGGAGCCTGCGCTGGCTGCGGCGCTGGTTGCTGACCTGGCGGCCAACTTCCCAGGGTTTGACGACGTCGCAACGTGCGGGGAGTCCCGGTGCGTGCCTCCGCCGGGTCCCGACGCACTGCTTTTGTGCCCACCAAAGCACGTATCGTCACCCCTCAGCCATGGTTGGTTATGCAGCGAACTTTGCAGAGATGCAGCCCCCTGCACTTGTGGGGTTGTGCCGGTGTGGCGTCGTTTCTCCTGGCGCCTGGCATACAATCATCCTGGCTGAATGCCAGACAGCCGGCTGGGCAAAATGTATGGCCCCGTTGCGGTGTTCGAGCTTTCATGCCTGCAGTCAAAAAGATCGGGCGTTTGCAGATGCCTGCACAGGACTCGCTCCCCCCATGCCACGTTTGAACGCTCACCCGCTCGTCTGCCGCAATTCCCGCACACCTTCCTGCTGCCCTCTCCAAGGGTGCCGTTCCACAGAAAAGCCCAGGCGCTCGCTGCCGATCTCTTCGCTCGCTTTGGCATGCCCACCGACGTGGGCACTGCCGACCCTGGCACCGCGGCGCCGGACGCGAGGTTTGCCTGGGATGACGCGGCCCTGCTGGCCGGCGACTCGGGGGCGCTCGCGGCGGCGGCGTGGCGAGGGCTGGGGGTGGTGGCACTGCCAGAGGCGCTCGCGGCGGCGGTGGACGGCGGGCAGCCGCTTTCAGGTGGGGGTTGGAGCAGAGTTTTTGTGCTTGCATGCGTGCATGCGCGTGCATGTGACATTGTATGTGAGAGCACGTGTCTGCAACTTCCACGCACAAGAAAGTGCTGTCGGGGACGGCTTGACTTGGGACTGGGCCCGCCACTCGTAACACTTAGGGCCTGGCCTGTTTTAGTGCTGCGCTGCTGCGTAATTGCGCTGGCATCTCATGTGAGACTGAAAATCACGTGTTTACCTCCTTTGCATGCCTCTGCCCCTCCCACCTACAGCCGACGACGAGTCCGCCTTACGTGCATCGGCGGTGGCAGCGGCGGACGCGGTTGCAGCTGCGGCGGGCGGGGGCTTGACAGCTGTCCAGGTGGCGGCGTGGGCGCTGAGCCTGCTTGATGAAGGCGGGGAGCTGCATGGCAAGGCACATGTCCATGCAGCAAAGGGGGCCGTTGCTTATTGAGCAGGCCCCTTTGGCAGTAGAACAGTTGTTGCGAAGTTGGTGTCCTCTCTGCAAATTGTTTGCAGTTTTGTAACACGAGCAGGTGGTTCTCCCGGATGAGCGTGTGATTGCACTGGGCAACGCCTTGAGTTGAGTTAAAGCTTGAGTGCCTCAGGTTCAAACTAATGCGTCTGTCGATAGGCGCTGCTGCTTGTCACCAGCAGTGCGTGTACGAGATGGCGAGATGGCAGCGGCGGGCCCCCGCCCGTGCTTCGTGCATCGCTCGTTCCGCTCGCATGGCAAGGCGGGCGCGTCGCCAGGACGCGGCCGCGGCCATGTCCACGTGCAGCAGCAGCAGCAGCTGCCGCACAGGCTTTGCATGGTGTGTGTACGTGCAGCAAGGACGGATGTGGAGTGGCAAGCGGGCCGGGCGGGCCAGCTCAAGTGTGGATCTGTAGAAGAAATAACTCTAATCACACCACCGGCTATTGGTGTTGAGTGGTGAGCCGGTACCCGTGGTCAGCTTATATCACAAGGCATCCCCACTCCTGTAACATACATGTGTGTGCAGAGGGGGTGGTGCTTGCCAAGTTGGGTGGTTCACTGGCAGGTCGCTCAGCCCTGACCATGAGATCACTAGCCAGGGAGTGTTCATATTACGCCCGACAGCCACCCCAGCGCAGCAAGACCGCCACTTAAATAGTACGACACTGCTTTACACCCCACAAGAACACTCGCCAGGCAACAAAGGCCTCGCAACGCTACAACCGGGAGGATCACGGACGTCCCCTCGCGAGCTCCTGGCTCCTTCCCCTCCTGTGCTTAGACCCTAATTAACCCTCAGTGCCACGTAATGCGCTGCCAGGCCACGCGCCGCCCGTTGGTGGCGGTGCCGGCGCGCGCGAGAGCTCCTGCGCGGCGTCCCGTGGCCCAAGTCATGGTGAGCGGGGTTGCCCCTTGCGGGTTCGTGCCAAGCTGGCTGCGCCATCCTCCACTTGTTCTGCGCAATTTCAAGCGCTGGCTGAAGCAGGCGCGGTGCACACACATGTACACGCACAATCGCAGGCCAAGCGCAAGCAGCAGCAACCGCGCGAGCGCAAGAAGAAGGGCGGCGGCAGCTTCGCGTCACAGCAGAGGCAGCAGCAGCAGCAGCAGGGCTGGCCATCACGTGGAGAGCAGGCACCCCGCGGCCGCGAGCTGGTGAGAAGTCGCCAGCTGCCTTGGATGCGTGCGCGCTGCAAGGAGGGGTGCTGTGCGCGCGTGCTGGCTATGCCTTATGGACGAAAATCCACCCCCCTGCCGCACGCACGCAGCTGCCGCCCACTGCTGACGGCTGGGCAAGCGGCCTCTCTCCTGCCCAGCAGCGCGCCTGGCTCGCCGACTGCTTTCGGCTGCGAATGACGGATGCGAATGACGGACGACGGCACCCTGGACGGCATGGTGCGGCACGCGGTGTTCAACGACGGATATTCGTGGCTCAAGCAGCACGTTGCCGAGCGCTTCCTCCTCTTCTGCAAGCTCGCGTACGCTGCCGGCGCGCTGCCGCCCGCTTGGGACTGGCGCGCGTTCCTGGCGGTCGCAGGGCCGCTGATCGCTGAGCCGATGTCCAAGCAGGACGCCCGGGAGCGCTGGGGCGGCGAGAACATCTTTGCGGGCGCGCTCGGGGGCCGCTCTCTGCGCTGGACGGCCGACACGATCTTTGGGTTCAACTACATGTTGGCGCAGCACGAGAATCTTGTCGAAAAGGAAGCGCGGCCAGAGTTCCGGCCACTGTTCGAGCAAATATTTAACCGCCTGCCGCAGCTGCTCGCGGCTGCCAGGTCAGCGGCTGATGGGGCAGACGCGTCCATGTTCGACGACGTCGGCGGCGTTGAGGCGTGGGCGCGGCTGCTGGAAGAAATGGAGGACCCTGCGGAGGCCCTGGGGCTCATTCAGGTGTGCGTCTGGCGGGGCGGGGTGGGGTGGAGAAATATCTGCATCGCACGTTCCTAGAAGTGTTTTGCAACAGTTCGCAAGCTGACGCACATCTTTGATTTCAACACGTCAACATTGACAGAGCCAGCGGCGGGGCATGCTTTCTTGGGCTGCAGGACTCTTCCGACGAGGATGATGACGACAACCTCAGTGACTTGCCAGAGGTTGCCATGGTGCCGCAGCACCTGCCGCCCCCTGAACGCCACCTGTGGCTGCTGGCGCCGTTTCGCCGCGTCCTCGCCCAGCTCTCCGCGGCGGCAGCCGCCGGTCGCATCGGCACGGGCGGCGGTCTTGAGGGAGAGCCGGAAATGCGCAGGAGGGGAAGGATGAATGAGATGGAGGAGGGGGAGGAGGATGACGAGGAGGAGGACGAGGAGGAGGAGGACGGCCTGTCGGATGATGTCTTTCTTTACAGCCCGTGGCAACTGAGTGCAGCACACGCGAGCACGCCCCGCCCCTTCAATGAGGCGGCAACCGCGAGCCTGCTTGCATACTGTAAGTGCGCAGTGGCCTCCGGCGCGTTGGGCAGCGGCGCCGCCACGTGGGACTGGCACGCATTTGCAGACCTCGCGGCCCAAATGTTGCCGCAGCGATTAGAAGAGGTGCCATTTCCAGTAGTGGACGGCGACGAGTTGGCGCTGCATGCATTAAAGCGCGACATAGAGCTTCCCATGATCTATGTTCTGACGTGGCATTGGGGCGAGGAGCGCCTCAAGGCGCGCCGCGATGGTGGCAACCCCCTCGACCTACTGCTTGCAACCCCACTGCCTGAGCTGCTTTTGCAGCCGCCGCCCGGCTTCTTTGATGGCATAGGGGGGCCGGCGCCCTGGGCGGCGCTGCTGGCTGCGCTGCCTCAAGAAGAGGCGGCATGGTTTCAGGCATGACCCTGCAGCCTTTTTGTTGTCAGTGTGCTGATGCTTGCTGTTGATTGAGATGCGTGTTTAGGGAACCAGGTAATGACCGTTGGCAAAGGGCTGTCGTGCGACAGTCAGGCGTATGCTGGATCCTGGTACAGTAGAAAGCAGTATAGTGGTCAACGGGCAGGGGGCTGTGGGAGTGTGCAGGAAAGTCAGTCTTGTGGGCCCGCGCACCTTCTCCATTGAAACTGACACCTCTGACGCGCGCCTCGTTTGCCATCTCGGGCAAACAGTTTTGCTGCCACCCATGCACCCAATGGTTTCGTCTTCTGACACCATCATCAGCACCCCAATCACGGGCTATACTGGTGTGGCACACCCATGCAGCCGCCCTCTTTTATGCCGCCTGCTGGCTGGCTCAGATCATAATTAGCGGCTTCCGCGGGACATGGCTCTCTGCCAGACTCAAGGACTGCCTGAAATGAGAGATCAAGGCCCTGCTGAGGGGTTTGCAAACCAGTGCGAGTGCAAGTAGGACAGCTGAGGCTGAGCCACATCATGACAGGGGGTCAAACAGGTCACATGAGTGATAGCAAACGGCTGTTTTGGGGGCTGCTTTGCCTAGCATACTGTAGGTGGCCTGCAGGTTGCATAAGACACAAACATACACCTGGCGCAGGCATCCGTCTGTCAACCCTGGGTGCCGCTGCCCCCCCCCCTCAGCTGCAGCCGTCGGCTGCAGCTGAAGGGGGGGGGGGGGGCGGCAGCCCCCCACCCGGCGGACCCGGCCCCTTTTCACCACTGCCATCGTCGCCGCCACCGCTGCCACCGCCACCTCCACTGCTCTGCCCCTGCCTTGTGGTTTCCATGTTCCTTGCAGCAGTTCGAGTATTGGGTCCCAGCTTTCTGGCCAATTGAAAACAACACGGAGGCAGGCGACGCCCGATTGGCGGGCGGGGTTGTGGCCGCCTGCCTGCCACTGAATGCAACAGTGTTGGTGATGCGTTGCTGCGAGATCCCCTGTCGAGCGCACACAGAGTTCCTTTCTGTCCTGCCAGATAATGCTTAGACTGCGCGGCGCTTTGCCGCACCTCGCGCTGGTTCAGCGTCGCGCCGCCCGAGCAATGGCGACCGGCACGCAGCAAGCGAACAGGGACGTGCTGCTGTACACAGGCGAGCATGCGCAACGTGTAGTAGGCCCTGGCATGATCCACGCAGCCCAGATCATCGATCAATCCCATTCGCAGAGTGGTCCAACAAGGGGAAGTACAGGCAATTGCTGGAAGAGAGGGGTCTGCCGGTACTATATACGGATGAAGTCAAAGACTGGGACCGCATCGGCTTTGCAGTAGCGTGGAACCCGCCGCCGGGGCTCCTGGCGCAGGTGAGAGCGCCATTGCTGCAGACGCTGCGGCACGAGCAGGCGATACCTCATGCGTTGAGGTTGAATGCACACACGCAAAGCGTTTAGCCGCTGCGAGAAGCCACACAGCGCACCTGCCTTGCCTGACTTGGATCACCTGCACTATGCCTGTCAGTGCCTGAATCTCAAGGCCGTGATGTCGCTGGGCGCCGGTGTTGACCACATTCTGCAGCCTGGTCAGGTGCGCTCACGCGGCGGCGGATTTTGAAGTCCACTGTCATGAACTCCTTGGCATGGTAGCCATGGTTGTGCAGGCAACAGTTGAAACACTCACACACCCTCAATCGACTGGCAGACAAGGGGCCAGGTCGACAAGCCGCTTGTTGACGCACCCCCTCAGAGGGTGCGTGCAGCGATCTTTTACACAACCCAACGCCGCTTGCGCGCGGCTGTGCACCTCGCCCTTCCCATGTCACCCCCCGTCAACGCCAGGTGCCGGCAAGCTTGCCCATTCTTCGCATCGTGAGCGCCCAGGAAAAAGTTTGTGTGGTGTAATGCTGCCTCGTGCCATTACGGATCATGTCTGTGCTCATCAAAGGCAGCGATTGTGCAAGCGGCCTCCGGCGCATGCTCGCGGCGCCGCTCCCCTTGTGTTGCCTGTGTGCTGCATCTTGCCGACCACCCTCCTTACTATCCAGCAGCTGTCCGCGGCGATCTGTCGGCCCCTGCAGCAGCCCCCCCTTTCCCTCCTCATACTCATGTACTCATGTTTACAGACTCGCTTCCTAAAAGTGGCTTTACTGATAGCAAACAAATGGCAAACACACACACACACACACACACACACACTCTGACACACACGGTCTATGTTGACGATGTCCACAGGTTGACCCTCGCATGGCGGAGCGCATGGCCACCTGGGTGATCTGGGGAGTCATCAGCTGGCAGCGCAAGTTTGAGGATTACGGTCAGGCGCAGCGCACGCGCCGGTGGGACGTGGAGCTGGAGGGGCGCACCAACCTCGACAACTGCGACGTCAGAGTCGGGGTGCTAGGATTCGGTGGGTCGTGTTTTTTCTGCATGCAGCATCCTTGGCGGGTGCGCAGCTGGGGTTGGCTGACCATTGCGTGTAGCAGACTTTGCTCACGAGTGCACCGCCGGGATTCACCGACATACGCTTAGGGCGGGCCGTCAAAACGAAGCCCGCCGTGGTGTGGTTGCAACGGCCACACAATATTGTCGAGCTTGTACGAGCACTTGAAACGTCCTCAAGGGGGCTCATCCAGTGCACGCCCCTGCCTATTCTGGCACCACCCAGGGCTGATGGGCCGCGCGACGGCGGAGGCCCTGGCCGGCCTGGGCTACCAGGTGTCTGCCTGGAGCAGATCCCCGCGGCAGCACGAGGTGAGGGAACCTGGTGGCACAACCGCGTGAGCTGTGACTCTCGGACCCAATTTGCTGTGTGTGTGATACCACGGTGTGCGGCAGCTCCCCGGCACTGTTCATGGCTGGGCAGAAGAGAGTGGCCATCGTTTTGCTCCAGTGACTGTGACTGCTCCTGTGCCTGCGTTTCGGCACTTGTGCACCAGCACGGTCCGGATTTGCAAAGCACGACGTGCGCTCGACAGCGCACGCACACACGCACGCGCTCGCGTGCACACACACACGCACGCGCGCGCGTGCACACGCACACACATACTGACACACACTGACACACACACACACACACTGACACGCGCACACACACACACACACACACACACACACACACACACACACACACACCAGACCATCCGCTGCCACCATGGGGTGGCCAGCCTGCAAGAGTTTGTGGCGGGCTGCGACGTCCTGGTCTGCTTGCTGCCCCTGACACCAGACACAGAGGGTGGGCAGGCCGGCTGATTTCTTGTGTGTGGCTTACTGTGCACGTGTGGTTCCATCAGAGTGGGGCACAGGCGGTGCTAGGAAGGGTGTGTGGCCCTGACTTGACGGCGTAGCCAACCCCCAGGTTTTGACCATCTCCACTCCAGCGGCCTCCTGCTGCCGGCACAGCTCCCCATCGCTGATATCACCAACCCTGTTTGCCTTCAACACCTCGGCCCCAAAGGCATCATCAACGCCGAGCTGCTGAGCTGGCTGCCCAGGGGCGCCGCCGTCATCAACGGCGCCAGGGGGCGCCACCTGGTGGAGCCTGACCTGCTGGGGGCACTGGACTCTGGGCAGGTGACGGCGCAAGTTGATGATTTTGGGGGCCATTGCTCATCACGTTGCAGCACGGCGCTTGGCTGTTGTCTAGGAGTGCTCTGGAGCTCCCCGGGCCCGGCAGAGGGTCTCGAGGGGAAGCCCATAGCGCATCCGTATTCATGCAGGCAGCACAGGCGTGCCCGGCTGGCGCTGTGGCATGAGTTATTCTTCCACGCAAGTCGCTGCATTGTGCGTCTCTGTTGTACGAACAGGTGGGCTTTGCCCTGCTGGACGTATTTGCAGTGGAGCCGCTGCCGCAGGACTCGCCGCTGTGGACGCACCCCCGCGTCAGGATGACGCCGCACGTCGCATCGATGACGACGCTCGAGGTGCGGGGGTGGGCGCAGAGGGAGTGGGTAGGGGTCGTGGTCGGGGCGGGGTCGGCATGGCCGTTCACGCGGGTCAGAAGGTGTGGCTGCACCTGTCGGGCAGCTGCATCCCAAATGGCGTCATGGAGTGTGTTGGGTGTGGTTCTTGACGCTGTGTGAGCCAACTGCGCTGCATGTTGAGCTGCTGGTTGCAGTTGCGGACTTTTCGCCATGCGGCCTCACTTTACGCTTCGTTTGCGGGAATTGGCCTCTCATGACAGGCATATGGTAATTACAAATCATCTGCCAGCACTGATGCACCTGACGCATCCTGACCAGGCCCTTCAAACGACCGCCACGCACGCAGAGCGCTGCGAATCAGATCGCGGCCAACTACCACAGCTTGATGGCGGGCACGGGCCCCCTGTCGAAGAACTTGGTGGACCGCGCCGCTGGCTACTGAATGGCTTTGGGGCCGGCGATGCAACAATTTTGGGGATTGGTATGCAAATCGCACGCCCCTGTGGTGGGTGGCTGCTGGGGTGTGCATGAGCACCCATCTCCGGTATTCGAGCAAGATGCTGAGTTGCTTGCTGATCAACATGAGTGAACCGTCATTAATAAGTGGTCTGATGTGCAATTCTTGTGTTCTTTGTACATCTTTCTTCTTTCAATTAAAATTTTGGGCTAGGTTGCATCACAGGACACGTGTAACACAACTTTCAAAAAGGATCAGCACGTTCTCAGCCGACGCCAAGACACCGCCGCGGGTGCCCTCAGCCCGCCGCCGCCCTCTGCAGCGCCAGCCCCAGCGCGAGGCCGGTGGCGTTGTAGCCTGCGTGCAGCGCGACCGCCGGCCACACGCTCCCGGACGCCGTCGCCACCGCGCCGGCCGCGAGGCCGAGGACGCAAAACGGGAAGAACTGCTCCACGCTGAGGTGGATGAGCGCAAACAGTGCGCCCGACACGGCCGCGGCGTCGACGCTGCCGAAGCGCTGGCGCAGCGCGGTGAGTAGTAGGCCGCGGAAGAGCAGCTCCTCCATCACTGAGGTGACGCGGCGTAGTGGGGGTTGGCGGTTTGTGATGCAAACCGCACTTAGTTCTGCAACAGTGCCGACTTCTGATCATTGCGCAGGTCAGGAGCACCTAAGACAAGGGCCGCATGGGAGCACACTCTTTTAAACCAGCGACGGCCTCGGCGGCCGCCACAGCTGGAAAGGTTTGGCCCTGCAGGCTCGACACAGGGCGGCCTCACCTGCGGGCGCCAGCGCCGCGCTGGCCAGCAGCGTCGCGGCATCCTGCGAGGTTCCTGCAGCCGCAGCCGCGACCAGCCCGCCCACCAGGCCGCCCGCCGCGCCAGCGGCCGCGTCGGGCGCCAAGTCCCACGGCCAGACGCCCGTTCTGAGCGAGATCGCTGCTGACGTCAGCGCCCAGACCACCGGGCCCAGGCCCAGGCCTGCAAGCAAGAAGGGCGCGGAGGCGTCTTGGGAGCTCTTGCGTGCTGAGCGGCTGCTATTTTGAGCGCCCGCCGGGCCCTCAAAACACGATGCCGATGAATGGTTGCAACAGCTCCTTTCGCCGGGCCCTCATCCCCTCCCCTGCTGCCCCCGCGCACCGGCCGCCGCCCATTTGCCGCTCGGGGCCGCGACGCGGAACGTGGCCTTGAAGTCCCAACCCATGCGCCAGGCGTAGACCAGCGAGGGCAGGAAGAACGTGGCCAGCTGGAAGACAGCCAGCTTGATGGGGGCGTCAGCGCCGCTCGCCACGGCCTGACCGATCGGTGTAAAATCCACAAGCCATAAGAGCCCAAGGGCGGTGTAGCAGTACCAATTCACGCCGTCGGAGAGGCCTGGTGTGGCCGCTGCCATTGCTGCAGGCTGCTGCTGCTGCTGCTGCTGCCCGGTGTTGGCATCATCGCCGCCACCAGTGTCGGGTCCACCATTGCTGCTGCTTCTGCAAGTGCCACTGCGTGTTTGTGTGCCTCTTTGGAACACTCTCCCCACAATGAGCGGGGTGCGAACCACAGGCAGTGCTTGACACCAGGGTTGAGACCAGCCTCGCCGCCGTGCTATGCCAACGGTGAGCACGGCTTCATGTGCTGCTCTCGTTGACAGGTGTGTTGCCAAGGGTGCCATATGATGCAACTTACTGCTGCTAACAGACGGCTTTTGTAGCTGTATCCTAGAGAATTTGTATTACATCGTTCAGTGTGGGACTGGCGCAGCTGCTGCCCGGAGGACGCGAGGAACACCACTGTTACTATCGTGCAGCACCGTTCATATGGACGCCACTAGAACTCGTTTCATATTGCGCTCGATTGTGAGCGTGGTAGCATAAAACCGAGTGATCTGTCCGCACCCGTTCGCGTGGTGCACCCGCCTCTTGAACCCTGCCCTGTACGGCGTGATCGGGATCGGCACCTCACAAGTCTGCGTGAACTCATAGGTGGGGGCGCCTCTATGCTGCCTGAGGGCGGCAGATCGATTGATGCGGGATCGGTTGCCACAAGGCACGGCGTTCTGGCGCGTGCATGCGTTGCCAACAGCGTTTGCTGCAGTCACGCGCACCTTTTCAAGGCCTCAAGCACACACAACTCATCCCTGACGGTCCATGCGCGCCTGCCTCACAGAGGACGCCTCTGGTGACTGTCCCACAGCGCAGCGGCGGCGCGGCACCCCTGGTGCGGCGCAGCGATGGAGCTTACTTTCCGCACAATCGGCGGGAAGAGCTTCAAGATTGAGGCCGAGCCGTCTGCCACGGTCGGCGAGCTGAAAGCCAAGGTGGAGGCGTCCCAACCAGAGTGCCCGGCAGCACAGCTCAAGCTCGTGTACAAAGGCAAGGTCTTAGAGCCAGAGGACAAGGCCATCTCAGAGCTCAATGTCGACTCGACAGGCTTCCTGGTTTGCTTTGTGCAGAAGGCAGCGGCGCCCAAGCCCGCGGCTGCCGAGCCCAAGCCAGCTGCTGCGCCCGCGGCGGCGGAGCCCGCGGCGGAGCCTGCGGCAGGTGCGGCGGGCGGCAGCGCACCGGCGGCACCCGAGGCACCCGCTGCAGCAGCTGCTCCTGAGGCGCCAGCGGTGAGCGGTGCTGCATGCATACCATGCAGCGCGACAGGATCACGCATGGCTCTCTGCGTGTTGTCGAGGCGGCAACGCGGGCAGCTGTCGTCATTGCCACACTAGAGGCGGGCCTGAATGCATCCGCTGTATGCGTTTGCAGCAGCATGCCCTGATTCCAACGTCTCCCACCACCGTGCCCACACGCCCGCCTCAGGCCGCTGCGGCCGCAGCCCCCGCCGCC